ACTCAATTATCTATCTCTATATCTGTCTATCTGCAATTATTTCTCCGCTTTATTTGACGGGCTTATATACTAAAAAAAGAGGACGGGCTTATATACTAAAAAAAGAGGACGCTTAGGACAGACTAGAGTTGCCAGGAAAAGTTATGATCCTTCTAGAACCTCATCACGTGCTACCAGCGTCACGTGCCTTCCGCTGTCGTAACAATACGTATAGAGGGAGAGAGAGAGAGAATTTTAATTTGCTATGTTGACGCACTGTTTGGTAGACACAATTTGGTCAAGTTGTAATTTCTAAACACCACAAAGTGAATCTATATTTGTGGTATCCCTAGATCCTATTAAATAATACACAGAGGAAAGAACAAACCAGAGGTTCGAGAATAGTGTCGGAGAAGATTGGCGAGGTGTGAAATGACTAAACCAGTGATAAAACAGTGATACAAATGCATACGTATTAAAACTGTTTTTTTGTTTTTTTATATTAATAATAAATTCAACATAGTGAAACAACAAAGTATTTTTAGATATAACAAATTATTGAATAATATGCGAAAGTGAAGTGAGGAAGCTTAACTGGAGCACACAAATACTTAACTCAATCGACAAAAACTATACTTTTCACTTTAACGAGAACGTTCAAGCCAGAATTATTTGAGTTAAACCAGACACGTTCTAGCTACGCCAATCGGAGGCAAACTACCCTTGGCCAGTGCTTGGTCCTGAACAAGGTTAAATTGTAGTCATCAGGTTCAGTTGACAATTTAGACTGGCGAGAGTAAGCCACGTATAACAGTTCTAATGTTACGGTTGCAGGTAGGCAATGGCAGACTTCAAGAATAAAATTCATGGCCATACATCGCAAATTTATTGCCAAAAATACTCAAAACCCTGCATGTTGTGAGATACTCATTACAAGTACGGAAGTACAGGCATTAGTACACGCGTTTTCAGTTCCCACTACTCTTTTTTTTTCTTCAGTCTCTTAAACAAACTATTGCTTTTAAGCTTTTACTATAACACAGTAGTCGTTTTTATTATATTTCACATGATTTATGTCGAAATATTAAATCGTTTGATAAACAATGATCGTATATAGGCAATATCACTATCACACATCCCACTTTTTTTACAGTTTATACTTATATTTAGTAACAAAAAAATCTAAAGGTGTAGTACAGAACCTTAAAATTTGCTCCAAGTTTTACTCTCTACAGCAGAACACAATGAAGGGAGATAGTTGTGTTGTCCCCCCCCCCCCAGTGGCACAGCGGTATATCTGCGGACTTACAACGCTAGAAACTGGGTTACAATACCCGTGGTGGGCAGAGCACAGATAACCCATTATGTAGCTTTGCGAATAATTATAAACAAACAAGCTGTGTTGTAGCCAACATCACCCTGTGTGCAAGTTTATTTTGTGGCTGAAGCATGGGGTGACTGGTTAATCAATTGTTTCTTATATTCGCACAATAATACACAAAGGCCATTTGCACTAGTCTTTTTGTAGCTTTGAACTGACAGATTAGAGGGAATTGGATCAACAGCATCTTCACCAACTTTTGAGCTACTCTTATCCAATAGGGGGATTTGACAGTCACTCTTATAACGCACCCACGGCTTCAAAGTGCGAAGCTCGATTTTGCTACGGGACGTAAACCACAGATTCACAGACCGGCACGCTAACCAGTAGGCCACGCCCGGCCCAACATGAGGTGAGAAGTACCACTAACTCCCTAGAATCTCATATTGTGACGGGTCAGTGAGAGAACAGTCGTTAGCGCTTTTAGAGGGATTTGTTTTTGAACTCCGAAAGAGCTAGACTAATTATGAAGTACTGTCTGTGTCTCGTTCTCTTTCAGATGCTTCATGACCATGTCCGTTTCGAATTTTTCTCCAGAGTTATAAACAGCATCGGATTCGTTTTAAGAGAGTTTCATTTTTCACTAAAGAGCAATTACTATTTTTAGTTGCAGCCAGTTTATTTAATTTTAATAACATTGATCCCTAGTTCTACCATTTTTGCATGATTGACTATTATTTCACAGTGCTCTCCAGTATTAAAATTGTTAGCTTTGCCCGTTTTTTGTATCCATAATGCAACAAACAAGCTGCAAATCGCCACACTTTCCTTCCATTCATTAGGTCCGCCAGCCTCTTTTGTTGTGGTAATGATCTATTCATTTTGGAATGCTCACACTTAAAATTTTATTATGATTATAAGTTTGTGTACATGAACCACCAGTAAATAAATACATTAGTGAATAAAGGTTCACTATTCTGGCATATTAAGATAAATTTTATACTCTGAAACGCCCCAATACAATCCCCCTGGTGATTATTCTATCGAGTGTTTCGATTTATTTTGTGGTTGTATAAAAATTGGTAAATCATGAACTGATAAAGGGTCTTAAATCTGATTCTAATTAAATAAAAAATACATACCATAATTTATCGTAAAATAATAATAAAACACTCCATTCGAAAAAAGCTTACAAAATAAAGCTTAATTTTAGAGTTATTTGACGAAAGTGATTACTAGTTTTGCTCGAAAGTTAATTCGATTATATTATTTTTCAGAATACATAGCATACACATGGTAGTGAGCTTCATACAAATACACATCGCCACATTTTAACCAACATAATCTGTTAATACTGCAATCGAACCAAATTTAAAATTCTCTAGAATACTTTATGTGATGACAACATTTTTTCTTGTGGGTATATGGAGACAGAGGAGTAGTAAGTAAAACATTGTAAGAAAAACTGTCTTAATTACAATGTTACATAAGTAACGATGCTGCCTGGTTTTCTTACACTTTTAAGTTACAGTGACAACTAAAAACCGGATACAATTTTGAATCATAACAGTTATAGTTAAGTTTCAATACTAGCAATAAGTTTAACATCATTATGTTCACACAAAAACTAACTAGAACATATACTGATATATATACTACTTTAAAAGACACGAAAAACGTTACGCAAAAGATTCCATTTTTATGTTGTTTACCGATAAAGTAAACAACGTTATCCTGTTCTTGATCCGCTTCTTTCTGACAACAATATAAATATTTGATAGCCTCGAATTTGATGTTGAGTTTCCTATAAGAAATTCACTTTAAAAGACAAATGTTTTAATTTTATACTATACGCGACTAAACATCTTCTTCACGTGACCACCAAAGACTTTTCACACGTGTCATCGCGAGAACACGACTTTCCCACGATCCCTTCACTTGCAGCATTACCTACTGTAGAAGTACATCTACACACGCCAAACAGGAACCAACTACCGACGAACGAACGTCTCCACTCATGTGAGCCTCTAATCATGACATGGTATGCATACTAATTATAAAGTGAGTTATATGAAGCTGGTTTATAAGATTGAAAGCGTATTTAACTAATGCTAAGGTTATATCTATCTTGTTAATAGTGAAATTTTACCTCAATTTTTTATTTCAAACTTAAACGGGATCTGTGTCATCATAGTAACACATGAATGCAATTACAATATACATGTATATATATATATATTGTGTAACAATATTGTTGCTAACTTTTCACCAGCAGGGTCGGAGCCAGGATTTTTAGGAAGGGGAAATTTGTTTATAGGGGCTCAGACCCAAAACAGTGGGAACAAAATCCCTCCCACCTGAACAATTTATTTTTAACAAAAAGGGAGTGAAATAATGTTTGTTTTTTGTTTTTGAATTTCGCGCAAAGCTACACAAGGGCTGTCTACGCTAGCCGTCCCTAATTTACCAGTGTAAGACAAGAGGGAAAGCAGCTAGTCATCACCACCCACCGCCAACTTGGACTACTCTTTTACCAACGAATAGTGGGATTGACCGTCACATTATAACGCACCCAGGGCGAGCATGTTTGTTGGGACGGGGATTCGAACCCGCGACCCTCAGATTGCGAGTCGAGGGCCCTAACCACCTGGCCATGAATTTCAGGCTATATTTGAACACAATTCACGAGTTTTTGCA